ATATTGATAAGTAGGCAAGCTAGCATTTAACTCTTCTGAAATAATAAGAGAGATGTTGTTTCTTTCAACGATGTATATTTTATTATATACAAATCAAAATAAAGAAATGATGTTTACCTACTGGGGAAACCCAAAAATATATATATATATATATATATATGTATATTAATATTGTTTTCTATTAAATTTAATTATAAATGTATTTTGAGGATTTAATAGATTATGATGATAACAATAATTATTTTTTATTATTAAAATAAAACAATATTTATATTATAAAAATAAATAAATAGAATATGAATATTTTATTAGATTAATCTTTAAATTTATTTGATTCAACTTACTTTTGATCAACAGATTAGTTTTCTTATAAATTCTGAACAAATTTTAAATTTTTGAATTTGATTATATGCCAGATATAAAAAACCTTCAAATAGAAGTACTATACTTATAGATTTTATTATTAAAGTTATATAATTGATGAAATTTTCTTTGTAAATAATAATATAATTATTATGTTTCTTAAATAAATATCTTTTCAGGCTTAAAAAAAATTTTTTTTTATATCATGCATTCAAATAATATTATTCATCATCATTCTTTAAGTTACAACTTTTGATTAATGTTTAATTGAAAGAGACATGGTTTACGGTATTTGCTTGTTTAATTTATCAATGTTGAACTTAATTATCAAACTTTTTTTTTTGGTAATTATATTTAACAAGAAAGATACAATTATGTATTATTTATAATGTAATGAGACTAGTAGTTTCTATTTGATTCTTCTCTTATACGCCTGATGTTATCATCATCATCATCATTAGTCATGGCATCCACAACGGAAAATGAATTGAGATTATTTTCCAAACGGTTCTCGAAAATTTTTTTATTTGTACGCGAATTAAAAACATGTCATACAATCACCGTTCATAAAAAAGATGAGTCATTCTTATGAAACTTCGATAAAGTGAATTAACACACACCATACCATGTTAGAACTTTTCCTTTACCCATATATCAGAATCGCGTGATGAATTCTAATCGATTGTTCCATGATGGAAAGATCTCAAGAAATAAAGATGTTTGTTTTTATATTTTCTCAAGTTAGTTAATATCGTCCTCACTCCTTTTTCTAAATGACCTCGTTTATTGTAAGGATCTCGCCGAAAACTCGAGGCGCACCAAGACGAATCTCTTGAATGGTATGGCACCTAATTCGAATTTTACATCACACAATTTAACCTCATTTAACCAAGAAAGTTTAGAGGACGAATTTACAAAGGTCTCAACCACGCAGAGAAAACAATTACGCCAACTGCGACAATTGAACGAACAAACTTACGTTAATGATGATTGCATAGAATTCGGAAAATTCGGAAAATCCAAACAGCACAGAACATCAACGATTTTAGACTTGGAATCGCTTGTTATCGGGAATTTTAAAGTGGGAAACTTTGAAGAATCATCTGACAACCGTAAAAATTCGACGATCGAAGCGAGCTTTCAAATTTTGACAATGAAGTTTGACCCATTGACGGAAGCTGTTTGTTTCGAGCTAGGGGACGACAGGTTGGACATACAGGTTGCAGGGATCGAGGAATACAGGATGGACGGAAGGTTGATCGAATTGAAATTATGCGTTGATTTGGTAAAGTGGGTCTTACCAGTAAGTTTTCCTCAACCATCGACATGTCTTGTTGTTTCTCAGTAGAATTTTAAAAAGACTCGTTTGTTCTAAAGGTGAGAAGAATCGATTCTCTCGGCAATGTGAAAATATCAGTCGATCCAACACATGGCGAGTTATTCAAGGTCGATAAAATTGTAACCAAAGTATTATCATGGATTCCAGAAGTAAAGTTGAATAAGGTTCATATGGAGTTTAGGTAAACCAGAAAAATTCGGTGAGCACAAAATGGGGACGCGATTTGTTGTGTCTCACTCAATTTCATCATTCATTCAGTTGCTTGAAGGAAAATCCTTTACCTGTTTCCACAATCATTTGTAAAGGTGACACCAAGGTATTTCCTAAATCAAGCCTATACGATTTCGTGTATCAATTTCTATCGAGTGTTTTTTTTCATCCACAACATATACGCCGGGATAAACCAGATTAGGCTAGTGACCCAATTCCGATCGACTCGTTTTATCCATTACATCTATTCCGCCATAGTACTTGACCATTTTCTCATAATGATTCGCAGAAAACATTCATGCAATGAAATTAATCTGCCATTGAGGTATGTTCTGGGAAGCGAAATTTTGGAAATTTGGAATGAAGATGATTGGGATTTTTGTAAATTAGTTTGCGAGAAGAAGGAATATAGCCGATTGGAAGATTTTATAACCGAAAAATGTGTATTGGAGATTTATATCGATGATGTAGAGGGAAAAAACTAATCAGGACGTCAAGGGATTACATTTAATCATTTTTGCAGGAGTTTGTAAATAGAATTTTCGACTCGCAAAAAACAGATCAAACGGTCGTTACCGATGATATTTACTTGCTTTCGGGAAAGTCTTTGTGATACCTTCTAGATTAAAAAGCATTTTCATGATTCCATTTGTCTCAACTTTCCGCATTTCACCGCCAACAGTGACCTTTATGTTGAGCCTGTGTACAACTTTTAAGGAAAACACGGAACACGAATTTGTCAATCGCGCATTACCGCGACTGACTAGGAAATAAATATACCAACATATCACAAGAATTCCTCGGAACGACACTTTTTTATCTCGAGATTTCGCGTGGACACCATACGGACGCGAACACCGATTTTTGCACGTGCTCACCACACCATTAAATGGTTCTTCTGGACCACTTTTGGACTTTTTTTAAAAAAAAAAGGGATTTTTTGTTCGATAAAAGTGAAACAAATAAAAAAATTTCCTTTGTCCATTACATGCGTGATACAATTTGTCGGAACAGGATGCTCTTTTTTATTCGTTCAGGAATTTGGAATTGACATCATCGTATAAAAAACATACTTTTTTTTTTTTTCCTAAACACTCGTTTCCAATAAAATTCACGCGTCCTAAAACCCTAATGAGATGTAAATAAATAAATAAAGATTTCCAAAGACGAAATAAATAAAGGTCTGACTGTAGATCGAAATCCCATAATGACAACAGGTGTTTTACCTAATTTTCCACGACATATCTGTGTAGAAACACAAACTTTTTTCAAAGCTTGTTTTTTTTTTTTTTTTCTGAATCTTAAAAAAATACATGCGATGTCAGGTTACATGAAAAGACGCGGCACGCATTTATCGCCTCATTTGCCCGATTCATTTCATTGTTCAAATTGCATTAAAAAAAAAAAAAAAAAAAAAAAAAAAAAGAAACGTGTATCATCGTTTCTTATCTAGAGAACTTAAAACGTGGCACCCAAATCTTTTTTTACCCACCCATATTTATTAACGCTATTACTATTATTATTATTTATTTGCTTGCTTATTTATTTATTTACCTATTATTCATTCTTTCATTCACTTATTCATTTATTTACTTATTCATCTATTTATTTATTTCATTTATTAAATAGATTTCAAGCAGAAAAAAAAATAAGGTTTCCATTGCATACTGGCGGTGCTTCAGAGGGGGCCTAATCATACAATCGTCGTCGCTTGTTTAATTAATATGCTGGGACTCCTGAAAACTTAAATGATCATTTAAGAGCTGATGGATGCACAATGATTAATTATTTATTTAAATTGGTGTATCGGAGAGGCAATACATGAAAATCATAATTTTGGTAAAAAGGCGAATTTTTTATGGTTTATATATGAGCAAAAAATGACGTACGCCTATAGCTCAGAAACCGGTTATGATTTTGTCTCCTTACCCAATCAGAAAAAAGTTGACAGATGTACGAGACGTGGGAAAATGAAAAACTTCCTCATTAAGCTATGCATCAATAAAATTATTAATCAAAGAAAACAAACACGAACACATCGGTATCTTTTTCATACAAAACAATTGATTTCGAGAACGCCATTGTGACGATTACACGACAACCAAAGAATTAAAGTGCGGTCGCGCAAATTACGGTGGTTGTTATTGCTTTTTACACTGTAATTCCGTTGACTGGTGAATGATGATTGGAATAAGTTAAATTTCACTTTGGTGGCCTATATAAAGTGCTTACAAAGATGATACGGATCAGCTTTTTTTTCATTAGCTTGATTCTAGACAGTAAACAAATTCCCCACACGAACACACTTTGCAATTTGACGTGTACGCCATCCAATCAAGCGTCAAAGGGAACATGCATTTTGGTCTGTGACACTCTTGTACACGTCATGGGGTAAACTTTTTGCTATCTGGATTGGAATAAGGCCAATACACCGAGGATATTCAATTCCTTGTTTGAGATGATTGTGAAACGCACCACCTCATGCGTATCAACGTTTCACGATGGCAACGCGACCTTAGTAAAGGCATTGCTCAACGACGACGACTGAGAATATGCATTTGGTTTTCCCCTCCCAAACTTTGCACTCCGATCGGGACATGATAGAGGCAAGGGATTTGATTTTGACGAGGGAATTCTTGATTTTCTCTTTTTTTTTTTCATCAAGGTTAAATTTTGAATCTTGTTGAAGTGTTTTGCGTTCTGTTCTCCTTTTAAAGATGTCGCAATATTACTATTATTGATTATTAAGAAAGCCGGGGCGTTGAATCATTTCCACCTCATCATATCATCATAGGCAGCAGATAAGGTTAATAAATGGAAATCTTTTTTACACGAATCGCATTTTTATATACAACGCTTGATCGATCCTTTTCTTTTACGCGACACAATACATTCGGCAGAAAACTTCCCGAATTTACTAATCAACCTGTCATTTGGTTTTGGTCATGTGATCATACGCGATGTGGTGCGATTAGTACTTTTGGGAAGTCCAAATCTCTGAAATCTAGATAATCCAAGGTAAATTGGTTTTCAGGATGCATATGTAGATCTCAATTCCTCTTGGTCAAACTGATTTGCGTTCATGACTTACAGCCACTGTCGTCGGAAGATGAACACATAACCAAATTTACGAGATTCCTGTCTCACATGGTACGTCCAAAGATTACCGAGTTGTTGTTCCACCACCTTAATATCATTCAATGCAAGGGTCTCTTTATGCATTTTAGTAAATGTGGTAATGTAAGGGTTCGCCATTTGCATTTAAGAAAGAACCAAAGATCATTAGAGGCGGGTTTTAACGAAAGGTAACACGGAATGAATTTCGTAAGCAGAACAAAATTTTATTGAAAAATAATTTATGCCTATTGGTCTTGTTCTGCTTATTTTGTTTGCCTTTTACAGATATCAATAAATTATAATGAAATAAATGATTGCATAGAATATTTAAAGACATCGATACTCGAATTTTCGTTTGGCCCTATCAGATAATTGGTTTTTCTGGTCTCCGCAAAGACGTTTAATTTTGCCCGAAAATTTTTTTCAGGGTCAGTCGTCTCGGGCTTCACCCGTGCTCGCGCAAAAGTTAAATAGATGTTGTCAAGCCCTTTGGACAACGTTTCCTCCAACTTCTCTTAACGCTCTCAATCATCTCTGAATAATTTGCGGATAATCCTTTCCCAGTTCTTATCGAGGAAAGGATCGGACGTTGATCCTGAACAATTTTACTTCTTTTTTTCTCCATTAAAAAAAAAAAAAAAAAAATCCCCAAAAAAATAATCGCGCATTGAAATGATCCTCGGATATATTGGTTAAATGTGATGACTTTTTTTGATCTCTATTTGTAAATACGTGTAAAACCGTGTATCTGGACATTTCTGAATTCTTCTTTCGGACTTGATCGAGCAAAGAACCAGATTTCCTTTCTTTTTTTTTCTGCCGACTATCCATTAATCTGCTGCTGGTGTGAGACATCGGTAGAAAAAAAAAATTCCTTTCATACTTTCTTTTCTGGAAAGATCCCGAGCTCGATCTAACTTCATAACTGTCGTTTCCTATAAATAGTGTAATTTAACGTTCGTTCCCATTTTTATTATTTTTTCTTTTCGCATTAACTTTTATTTTCTAATGGACAGTGTTTCAAAAAATTTCGTTCCACCAAATTCGAGTACACCTTTTGTACTTACGTTTCGAGCCCATCTAAACATTGATAAATAATTTTTCGTTTTCCTTCATCTCCTCTTTCTTAAACACGTCACGTGACATGAGTGAATAGAAAGATTCCGGGAAACCAAAGAAATTGTGTTTGTGATGATGATTTCTCAATCTTTCACCTATCGAACCAAATTTACTTACGACTTATGAAAAAATTTTTATCCTTTTTTAAAAAATTACCATTTTTGCCGTTCGTCGAAACCAACGTTGGTCTTTTTTATATGAAACAAACATAAGCAAAACACATTACCTCTAAGATTTTCCAGAATGATTATGAGACAAAGATATTTTCCCAGGGAAAAATCGACAACCGGTTGTCGATTTCATTTTCATCATATATATATATTTTTGGCAAAAAAGAACGGAAAAAAAAAAAGGAATCTCGAATCTCTTTTTTATTTATTTCATTTTTCTCATTTCTTTTGTTTTATCATTTTTTTTTTTTTCATATAATTAGAAAATTCGAAATCTCAGCACAAACAAACTAAAATTTCGTCAGTTTCTGTATAATAATAATAGTATATTATAATATAGATTGTGTTATTATTTAAACGGAATAAAATCTTCCAACCTGCATTAACGATCGATAATTCCTAATCGATGCAGTCCCTTCATTGTCCTATCGATTTGTATAAATGTGCCATGACTTATTTCCTTTATGGGACGATCATTAAACTGGCTCATGCATCCCGACGCGTAAATACGGGTGCGCTGTATTTGTTCATTTCCGTTGACGGGAAAAATACGAATGCGACAAAAGTATTGGGTGATATATTATTGCGTCGATGCTCAAGTCACGTGATGGTGAGGCATGTTTGATTTTTATAAGTGTATATACAGTACTGTAATAGGAAATTTTATATAGTTAGAATTATTTAACATAATTTATATACTGTAAATAGTATTATTAACCATTTTAACATACTGTAGATTTAACGCGTTAACAGAAATGTGCAAGGACACATGAGTATTGCAATTTTCAGGATAAACTCGATGTGTCGATCACCGGTGACTATATTCATGTGAACGTGATTAACGCTAACGTAATTACGAAAAGATTCCTCCCTCCTTTGATGCACGTTTGATGATATGGTTCCAAACGCAGTGCATTAAGAGAGGTCTGCCTGCACTATTTTTTTTTCAGGCTCAACATGATTGCTTTGTCTTAGTGCCACCCATTATGAACAAACGAACACGTAATCCGTGCGTTTCTGGAGAGTCAAAGTTTCTCGTGCCAGTCCCTTTTTGATCATGTTTGACTCAACATTACGAAAACCATGATCTCAAAAAATATAATATACTATTTTCGGGGACGTGTCTTTAAAAAACGGAATGCTTTAACACGTATAAATCAAGTGAAATTATGTCAATGGGAAAATAAAGATGTTTATGACGTGTAAATTTTTTCATTACTAAAATATTTCATCATCCGGTCTGTAGTTTAACGGAAGAAACATGCTTTCACGAAAACATATATAAATACTCTCCTTTTTCTCCCTTCTACCATCAATTTTTCCAATTATTTCCCCCAAAATTTGTTCAAAATACCTTTGAAATATCGAATTTTAAAATTCTGTACGTCGGTTGAAAAATCTGGTCAAATAGCAATTATGCCTTCAGTAACAAAAGACGATCTTCAAGTTGGTTGTAAGGTTCTTTATCGTCCGATCGGTGGCAGCGAGACAACTTCGGAAGGAATCGTAAAGGCGGTTATCGACGAGCCCGAGGTAAATCTATTTACACGTTTTCTTTCGTCATACATATGTTTACTCAACTGTGCGGACCACAGGTTGTTGGCAACAGTCAAGTCGAGGTTAAAGCCTCCAAAGAACATCCAAGGGTTTTAATTGAAAATTGTAACACTCACAAGGTACACACCATTCTTTGATTTTGTTGCGAATCATCTTTTGCTTTAAACGAATATTCAAATAGTCTTGGTGTTGATTGTTATAGGAAACCGGTAATGTATTTTAAAATTACCCGAATGCAGACCCCCAATAATGAAACTTGGCGTACTTACTTACAATCTTAAACGTAGCCTATAAGCTTGAAAACATCGAAAGAGTCATTGAAGCCTAGAAGTAAAGATCAAAAAGCTTTGCACGTAATCCCGTTCAAAATTCACCTTGTTCTTACAAAATAATAGTTACAATAAATTGTTCGTTTCAAATTTCGGTTATTTAGCTTTGTGCAGTGTTAATATTAATAAAATAATATAATCAATCTTATTTCAAAGCAACTTTTATATAGTTAATAGGTTATAATTTTTTATTTTATTTTAATAATCTTTTTCACGTTAAATTATTAAATATCAGAAAAATAATCGTGAAAAGCATAAAATAATTAAAAATTGATAAAAATAAATAAATTAATATTAAGAACAAAAAATTAATTTCAAACTTTTTGTCATATACAATAACTTACAAATAAAAAAATCTTATTTAAAATTTATAATATACTGTGTATCCACTATAAGTTTATTTGGAAATATAATTTTTTTTTTATCTATATTTCATTACTCGACAATGCTTTAATATACATATTATCCTAATGAATTTTATCTTGCTTTTTATTTGATTTGATTTTATTTTATTTTATTTTTTCTTTGTCGTTACAAATCAATATATCAGATTTTTAAAAAGTAAACAATAATAGTACTAATTTATTCAATATACTGTATTATTGATGTTTGATGCTGATTTTTTCATATAACATTCAATAAATTCGTAATCTTTTAACAAAATTTATTTAACATCAGGATTCCAATAGCCATTATCAACTATCATTCTTTACAGCGTTACTCCCCGCGTAGAAGTCATGACTTAAAGAGAGAATGAGATATTATTTTATTACATTAAGAGTAAGTCTTGTTATTATTGATTTGATTTAATTGACACGATTGAATAGAACTTTCAGTCTTACGTCGACCATTTGAGAACGAAAAGTAAGAATTTTCCGCAAGAGACAAAATTGCCCTCGAAGGAAGGAATAGTCAAAGGAGAAAATATATATATTAATGATGTTGATAAACTAAATATTCGTGCAAGTATTAATATCATCCGTCTAATAAATCGTGTCATCCGATTTGAAACGCTTATTTGAATCTCCACTATCCGAAAATCCGTCCGTACCGTCATCTTCCGGCGTCGATGGCCTTTTATCATTTTTGTTAATTTCCCTTTTAACGACTTTGAACACTTCGTAATCAGTAAGCGAAAACGATTCCCGATCAAAGATCGACTTTTCATAGGATTTTTGTATGCACTTTCCAGAAAACCATTGCAGATCATGACTAAAGCTCGGATTTTTCATGGCATTCCAAATAGCAGCCTTGTTTGTCTTGATACGAGAGAGAATGTTAGACTCTGTGTTGTAATCGTATTTATCCATCGAGAATAGAAATCCTTTTGATGTCTCTCCCCAACCCCCTTCACTTTTCCAGTCAATTGGATTATATCCGCCAAGCACTCGATTCGAGTTAGCAAGTTCTATAATTATGATTGTCGGACCTTGGTTGTCACATTGCTCATGAAATTTATGTGAATCGTTCGTCCCATCTCGACTACCACGTAAAAGGAGGTGAAAGGTGTATGGCATATCGTCTGGAGTGTACGCATCCGCGTCGATCAAGTTGTCCAACCATGCCGCAATCTGGCAAAAATGATTTATACTGATTAATTTAGAACTGTACGCGGTTAACTGTTCTGTTCGTGGTGGAAGTCTGATAAAACGTTTGGGTGCAATATTGGCAAAGAAATAATCCTTTATTTCTTCCCTCAATTCTTTGGGTAGAATCTTTTTAAACGGTCGAATTCTGGTTCTATGATCCTCTCCTGATAT